CCGCCCCGCGCCGGAGCAGCATCATCAAGGTAAGGGCGCCGAGGTGCGCGCGCGCCGCCCGCTCGGGCTGGTTCCGTTTGCGCCGTCCGGTGGGGTCGAACGACGTTGCTGGGAGCGGTAGCGAGGCGTTGTGCAGCTGGCGGGAATTTCTGGAGGTGCGTCCCCTCCGCAGCGAGGTTTCTGCTAGGGATATCGCATTAATGCTGTTATCCGAGGAACTGGCAGGGCTCTGTTGAAGTGCTGCGTGAAATCTTCCCCCGGCGTTGGGGAGCGCCCGTTTGCTCTGAGACAGGTGCGTGGGGGAACGGCGGCGCTGGGCTGGCGGCGTCGGTGGATAAATGATCAATAAACGTGCATGCTTCAGCCCGGAAAAATACCGCTTGATAGAGGACAACAGGGGCTCTTGCTGCAGGGGAAAAACTTATAGGACAGCTTGAAAACAAAGGTTATAACAGGTAAATTCTGGTTGGGAACTACACAGCGGTTCCTAACGGGCGGGGAAAGGGACCGGAATGGTCATCATTGGTTTTTGAGGCTCGCTATAGAAAGCTGATGAATTAAATGAAGTGACGGGGTTATCTCTGCTAGCAGGCGTTGGAACCTGGGGATTTGCAGGCTGTGTATCCCCGAGGCGTTTTCCTGTCGGGAATACCGCGTACAGTATAATGCTTGTTTTTTCCCCTTCCCCCCAGGTTGTCTCAATTATATATAAGTGATCTGAAGTACGGATTCTCTTTGTCATTATACAGCTGACTTATTTGGGCAGCACTTGCTAAGCTTTGCCTTTCCTGGTGCTTCAGTATGCTGCTCTGTTTTAAGCCCTGTGCATGATGTGATAGCATGCTGCAGTGTTTTATTATAGAGATTAAGCTTTAAGCGTATGTGCTCGTGTAAATTCATACTTGGAATTGTATTCCATCACTTAAAGTGATCTTATCAGGTAGGAAGGGGAAATTGAGGAAAGGAGAGGAAGCAGAGGGGCAATCTCTAACTTTGCCAGACTTGAGCAGTTCTGTCTTCTCCTGTTTCACTTGAAGATATCCTTTAAGTAAGTGAACAGACTCTGAAGTGTATGAAGAGCTTAACCTCCTTAGGTTTGTAATCAAAGTTTACTTTTGCAGTGTTTTCTTCTGACCAGCTATCTTGAGAGCTCTCTGCAAGTTTCGAGGTTAGTCTCTGAGGACACAACTCCTAAGGAAGCCAGAGAGTTGCTTACATTGGTGGAGTGTTCTGGCCTCCCCAGCATGACTGTGAAGTATGAAGGGCTGAGCAGAGACTTACTTAAAAAAAAAAAACAAACCCTTCCTGCAGCAAGTTAAATTTGGCAAATACTGTAAGTAAAAATATGAGCCCTTCAAGGTAACCTTCAGTGTATTGAAGTACTCTACTGTTTGGTTGCATAAACAGAATAACTCATCTATATATAGAAAGCAGAATGTAGCCAGAACACTTCTATTCACGTTCTGCTTTTGTAACATTCATAGCTCTGTAGATTGAGGGGGAAATCTGAAGTAGCATTAATTAGAAATACTTGCAGCTGATCCTGGGCTTTGGAAAAATTCTTTACTTCGTGTGCATTAGTTATTAATTTGTTTTCTACACACATATACTCGCACTTCCCTGTCTATGTTTGCATCTCTCACTCTTTCTCTCCCTCCCCTTCTAAAGGACAGGATTTATTCCTTCTTGATAGGTAATGCTCTATATGTCATCCTAAGAAAGGTGCCTAAACAAAGGTGTCTGCTGTTGTTTTCCTTCTGGCATCCTGCTACTGACACAGTGGTGTTCCAGCTTGTTCATAGATGGGTAGGAAGAGGCTGTAATTTGTTGTGCAAAGCCTATTGAAATAGTTATTAACTTTTTAACAAAATACTCCCAAGTCTGTGCTTAGCAGACTTCTCTCTCTGTTTGAATTCATTTTGCAAAACACTTTAGGGAACTTTTTTTTTTCCTTGAATCTTTGTTTAGAAACACTGAAGTAGAGAACACAGCACTGTATGCAGTTAATAACAGCAGACTGTGCCCAGGAAATAGGCTTGAAGAACCAACAGCAAGACTGAAATTATTTACTTACAGTAGACCCAAGAGACCTCTTGCCTTGAATCTTTCAAATGTTTATTGTGTTTTACATGCAGATTTTTCCTTAAGAGGCAGCTTTGCTCTTCTTGTACATTATATACTGCTTGTTTCAGGACTATGAGAATTGGAATTTTGCTAATAAATTAAACAATGTAATTATATTGAGGAAATCTGTTCTGACTGTGTCTGAGTTCCAACAAGTTGGAGTGGCTGGTTAATAAGATTATAGCTAACTTTGCTTCAAGAAGTTGTTTTTATTCTAGTGATTTTTTTTAAATCATTTTTTAAGCTGAGAGTATGTGAGACCTAGTTTTCTTTAACTTATAAATTATGCCATCACGCTTCAAAATATATACATTAAATAGATGATGCATCTACGATGCAGATGATGCATGTGGTGTGCCTATGCAGGAATCCACCTCAAAATGCAGCAGGATTCTTCAGGGCAGTAATGACCCTGTAGCAACTTTTTTTTTTTTTTTTTTTTGCTTTGTTAGCAAATAGCATCTAAATATAAGCTTAATAATTAATCTTGCATATCATAGTTTTATATCATAGTTTTAACTGGAAACTGAGTAGTTTTTTTGGTAAGAAGTGGTGAATTTTACTACAGGTGTGTTCTTTACAGTCTTCATAAGTGCCCTTGGAAAGGGGAAATGGGTGAGATGACAAAATTTGCAGGTGTTGTTGTTTGCAGTTTCCAGCCATCTCTGCACTGAAGTAATATATCCTCTAAACTAAATCTGGTTTGCTTGGCCTCCTTCATGTAGAAGGACTTGGGGCCTTGTTAAATCTTTGAAATGGAGGAGTCCTTTCTGCTGGCTTAAGTAGACTTTAGACCTTCAAGAAAAACCTCAAGGGCAAATTATTTGCATGAAAGTTTATAGCATATTGATGTGTGCTTTTTTTTAATGTTGATTATTAACTCATGAAATGTGGTATTTTCTGCTACCTTTCCATAGAGTAACATAATATGCAGTATTTGAATGTCTTCTAATCGCATTCTCCAAAGAGGTAACTCAAACCAGTGGAGCAGTATCCTGTCTGTAGGATACCAACAGCTGTAACTCAGCCAGTCTGATTACCTGCAGGCACGTGCTCTGGTAGGTCTTTTCAACAAATCATTTGATCTCTTTTCAGATAAGAGATAGCAGCTGTGCTTGCCAGGGAGTAGGAGATGGGGTTGGTGATGCTTCCTGAGCTGCTTTTGAGCCTGTTTTGTGCACAAGGCTGTTGTGCAAAAGTGCACAGATAACTGTTTTAGTCCATTAAAGTACTGGCCTTGTTGTGTAGGGCACAGCAGAAGATATTTTTTTTTGCCTGTTTGCCAAAAATGTTATGCAGCAGTAAATAAAATGGTCAGCTTGTATGTGTGTGGAGATTGCAGGCTCCTATTAAGACTGTTTCCTTTAATAATATTTTATTTGTTTTGTCATTCCTCTGAGATCAGCTCCATCTGCAGTGGGAGTGTTTTGTTTGAGCTAAGGGGCACATAGTGTATGTATGTGTGCATATATATATATATATGTCTTTTGTGCTTTGGTGCAAATCTGGAGATGATGCAGGCAAGTACTGTAGAACCAATAATGCATCATTTGTGGTGAAATGTTTAGCTGTTCCTAATTGCAAAATTGATTAGGATGACCTTTCTTTCCAGGATGCATCTAATAATTTTTGGTAATACCTTGACTGGCTTTACTAACAGGATAATAATGAGTAATATAAATACATGTATTTTAGCTTTTCTTTATTTTTTTTTCTCTCTCTTTTTAGCCAATGTGACATAGAAGTTTTGACCTGAATTACAGTTTAGGGACTACTTGGACTTTAAAAAGTTGAGATAAGTTCTGTAAAAGGCTGAATGCTTCTGCTAAATCTCTGAAAGTTCTGAAGATTACTTTATAGCTTTGTATGTACCTATGGAAGAATGCATTTGTTAGTTCCTAAAGCTTTCTATGTAGAAAATATTTTCTTATATGGAAGTCTATTTTTATAGAAGAGTATCCTCCAAGTCAGAAGTGTCCAGTTCTGCTGGTTACTAATCCTTTTCCTGAAATGTGGTTAAATTACTGGTATTACAGTAACAACTGCACTTGGTCTTTGCCCATTGTTGTCCTGTTCATTAACTAAGGTGAAAGTCTCTGATCCTTAAGGCTGTGGCAGGCTGTAACTTAAATAATTAACTGGAGGTAAACTGAACCAGAATATCCCTGTTACAGAGCCCTGTAGGTCAGCAGAGTTGGTCTTTGGATTATTTGGAGTAATATGTGGTCAGTAGCGTTGCGGTAATGTACCATTTTAAGGATTCATCAAAGTCAAAGTGATACCAAGTGGTAAATAGAATAGTCAATAATAATAAAATACCATCTGTAAACATATGCTGTTCTGAAGTTTGACTTTCCTCCGAGCTGTGTGCTTAGGGGAATACTCCTCATATTCCCTGTCTGCAGTAATTCTGGCAAAACAGCTACAGGGGACTGAGAAAAGACAGAGGATCTTGAACTTGTCACTTAGAAAAAAATCATTATATTATTTCTGCTTGCTCCCAGGAGACTCCCAGTCTTGCTGGTGCCTCGTCCTTCCTACTGGGCCTGTGTCCTGTTGCTTTAGAGCCAGGACAAGGTTTTGCAGCCCAGGACCTAGTTAAGGGGCTCGTGCAGAGCAGAAACTTGTTCTGGAGTCGTGCTAAGTGTTGTGCACTGGTTTGCATGGGTGTAAATGACTGTGCAGAAGGTGCCAAGGCAGTGGATTGTTAGGGCTTCCATCTCCCATCTTGACTGAAAGCTTGTTTTCATGACCTGTGTTTATCTCCTCAGTAGGAAATAAGAAGAGTCGTCTGATAACTGCTCAGTGCAAACCTGTCTCCTTAATTGCTCACCTTTATCTGATGCACAAGGTTGCTGAAAGTAGTCGTGGTTTATGGACCTGGAAGGCTGTTAAGCCGTGTTGA